TCGATTTTTTTCTTATCACAAGAGTTTGGCGCGGTTTTAGGCTAGCATGTCGAAATGTAAACCCAATGGTCCATGGTTCGCATCCCGTTTCCTCAAAATCATGCTCTGCATTGGGAGGTCGAGAGTACTCGTCAAATCTCAATATTTGATTAGAGAAACCCGAAAGTTAATTGTAGGAGCTGTTGACTAGCTGCCTTGCCTCTAATTAGGGTTGGTTAGCGCAAGTGGTATCTGTGTAGCATTGCGCTAATATCCGAAGCAAATAAACAAATCATACCAGAATGCGCTTTGTGTTGCGCATTTGATTAACAGTTAGTTTATCGTGAATTTCGTAAACGTCGTGTACAACAGTACGCTATAAATTAGTTATTTGATTTATAGAGTTATTTTATAACAAATAAGAGCACAATGTCCTGTAAAATAAAGTGAAAATGCTGTGAATTACAAAATAGGTTTGACTGTCACGATTTTAAAAAGAAAATTTACAAATCACCTGTCAGAATATAACAGTCGTAGATTTAGCAAGAGACACTACGAATTACGCCATCGAAAGAAAACAGTCCTAGTCTTAGAATGTCACATTGCTATAATTTTTTCTTTCAGTAAATAATAATGTAAACTACCCATCAGAGTAGAACAAATCACACTTTAGCAAAAACCATTACAAATTATTCATTAGAATGAGGCATGTTTTACCAAATAACAACGCAAATTTTCTATCAGAAAAAAAGCCACAGTTTCAGAGAGAATACTGAATAAATCCATTATTTCATAACAGTAAAAAAAAAAACATGTAGGGTGAAAAACATTTTGATAAATCAAAAAAAAATAGCGTTAGAATAGAACAGCTGTAATTTGACTCATGAGACTAAGAGAGTCAAAAGTTAGGAAGAATATTCCCCGTAAGATAGTCACATATTATCATACGAATAAAACACATATAGTTTAGCAGATTATATCGATATAAAACAGTCATAACTCTAGAAGGTAAAACTACAGTTTACTTATCATCAAAAAAGATTTTACACTGTAGCAAGTGAGAACGAAATAGTATAGAAATCAAACAATCATAGTTTCAGAAAGAAACAATGATCTGATTAAATAACCATTCATTCTTTTAGCAGGATACCATGATTATCTATGAGAGTAAGGCAATTATAGCTATCTCTTAAAAATAGATTTGGGATTATCAATAGACATACATTTGTCAAAAAATAGAAAAGAAAAACTAGTCCTGTCGTTCGTCAATGATAAGTGAAGTTAAAGTTATATGAGTTAAAAACAAAACACCCGCCTATATTTACGATCACTTATGATTCTAATGTAACAGCTACTGTACATATAACGTTATGCTGCTCTTCTTATTGAGATATATTAGTTATGATTGTTTCAATATGTGGCTGAATCCAACCATAATATTACTTTTAAAAAGAGTAAATTGATTGTTTCGAACAGGCTGGTCTATATCGTTTTTCATTTAACGTTAGCTCTTTAGAAACAGCGCTATAGAAATCAATATTCTGAGAAACTGCCTCTAGGTTCAAGAACCCAGTATTTACAAGGATGCAGTAAGGAAACAGACATGTGACGTCACAGATTTAGAGAGAATGCAAAATTTGTCATTTCAAAATTTATTTTCTTCTAAACAATTATTTGTAGATATGCCTTAGTATTTGTTTTTTCGTTATGTATCACAAAGCTACATTATGGGCTATCTGTGCTGTGCCCACCAATTGTATCAAAACCTGGTTTTCATCGTTAAAAGCCTTCAGACTTTCCGCTGAACCACTGGAGGGGGAGGGTCGTACTTTGGAAACTATGTAAGTTATATCAGAGACGAAAATACATTCCAAGTAACCTCTAGTTACTACCAGGGCATTACCAACAATACTTCAAAAGTAAATTATTGTTATCTCTGAAGAATATTAGTTGCGCTAAGTACGTCATTAATTAATGTGTAGTTGTTGTTAGACCAGAAAGATATTCACTACAAGAATTACGTTAGAAAATGTGTAATTGCTGTTAAGTCTGAAAAATAATTTTTGTCGGAAGTACGTCAGAAACTAACGCCCATTTACGAAACAGGGATGAGGCTCAAAGACTCCACTGATTCAGTTTGGTAATGAAGCAGCAAGGAGATGATAAGTTTCAACAGGCATATTACACCATTCCTAGGAAAAAAATCAGTATCAACTCTGACAAGGATATCTGGTTAAGAAAACGATGTCGAAGCCTGGTTTACAGAATAACCCACAATGGGATTAAGATCCCGTGATTTTGGCAGTCAGGATACATGACTCGCTGAATAAGACTGTTCTATGGATTTGTGCATCTGCCATCTATCCAAGTGGAATATCACAAGATAGAATAGTCCCCTAGGGCGTTCTTGTAGCGACCAGCTATTGTTCTGCCTTTCAATACAACGGTTACACTAAGTTCATACCATCAAACTTTATATCTCTCCGTGATGAAATGTCTGCATACCTTAACAGTTGGAAACAGGCACTCAGGTTGGTAATTTTCCTTGGTCTGACTCTACACATACACACCTTCATCTGATGAGAAAAAGAGTGTATATTAATTAACCTGATAATATTGTCTAAATGAATAACTATTACGGCATTACGTGCACAAATGTGTGTTTATTGGAATAACGAACACTTCGTATGTGGCCACTTTTTCATGCTTCCCAGGTGATTAAGCTTGCATTATTAATTTTCCTTTGACATTTGTTGCTGTAGTTTATCAACTAACTCCGAGCACAGTTTAGTTAGTGTTATCTTCCTTTTCTTTTCACGAATGCGATTTAACAAGCTGTTGACCTGATTTCACGTGATAGGTCTTTTTACTACTAGTGTTCTTGCAGACAATGCTAACTTCATATTAGGGACTTCCATTCTGATACATTATTTAACAACATATCCTTTAACAAGGATTGTTTCTTGTGTCACTTCACTGGTGTCCGATGAGTATGTGTCCATACAGTTGAATGAATACCTTGTAAAACCAACAATAGTTGGGTTTGAAACATGAAGTGTGTGTGTGAGGGGGTGGTCTAGTATCGCTCGATAAATCCTCTTTATTGCATTCGCGCATACAACCTACCATGAACATTTTATTCCAGGTTATATGCTTACATTCACCAAGGAATATTCCTGCTGGCTGTACATGTGAAAAGTTTATCATGAAAGATTCCTTTCAACTTAATATCTAAAGTTCAAGGGAAGAAGACGTACATTTGTGTTTCCATAAACTACACGTGAAGTTCTTTCCTACTAACATTCTTATAGTCTGCAGAAGATAATTAGATCCATGGTGAATTCTGACTTTCATACTTGTGTAATAACTCTATTTTTCATTACCTAGTGTGTTGTGAGAAAATAACATTTTCAGATTAGATACATGTTATTAAAACATGTCTGTGATTGTGTTATGTAATGTAAGGCACAGTTAAAGTTAAGTCGTTGCTGTGGAAACCATTACGTGCGGTGACTGTGGTAGAAAAGCAGTTTTCGTTAATTACGTTTGATAAAAGTGAGCAAACTAAGGGATACAATATGCTTAATAAGTAGTTAAGCGTTATTATCAAAAATACTTAGGTCCTTAATACCTTAAATAGGGAACGTTAAGTAATTTCTAAGGTTTATTTTTTATTATTACATTTAACATAGTTACAAAAAAAAAACGTAAATACTTTTGAAATTCATCAGTTAACTTGAAGTAGACTCAAGTGTAATTAAACTAACTATATAACCATATATCTAGTGAAAGAAATAATTTCACCTGCACATTGCGAACAAGAAGGAAATATGAGAAAATATTATTTGCTACTCGCATTTAATAATTTCAAATTATTCGAATTTGTTTGAAACATTTTGAGCAAACCTTCAGCTTTATCAAATTTCTATATGTATATGAACGTTAACCCTCGAATGTGGCTATATATGTATGTGCGTATATGAACGTTAACTCTCCGGATTTAATCAATCTTTACAATCTCAATCTTTGTAACATTCTCCACCAATTCAGTGTTTGAAAAAGAAATAATGTAATAGAACAGAAACATAGAGTGTAGCGTAAAATAATACATAAGATGAGCTTGCTTTTAATTTACTTCATAGAGAAGCAAAGCCTAAGTTGTGTGTTGAGTAGGATCGAGATGTTGCTTCAATGGTTTTCTAGGGAGAACATCTCAAGGATAAACAAGGCCAAGCCACTCGCACGAAGAAACGAAAATCTCATTGTTAATGAAGAACGTATTTCTCTCTCTCTCTTCACATTACAAGAACGAGAAAGGCTGCGTACTCCCGGACGTCTCATTAGACATAAGGATTTGCCGTTCATGTTTAACAACAAAAAGGCTCTCCAGATCTTTGGGGAAATCGGGCTTACTCTGTGTGTGTGTATATATATACACACACATCCATAAATATTTTGTTAAGTTTGCCTCTAAAGCAAATATATATATATATTTGTTCTTACATCTTTCCTTTGGAGATTCACTTTCTAATTAATGGTTTTGCTTTTTTTATTTCTTCTAGACGTATAACTGACCAACGTCACGTACAGAGTGACTGATTTCTGTTCGGAGTTTTACCGTTTTCATATGAGCATGTAAGTGACCAACGTCAAGAAGGCAAGACTGTTTTACAAAGAACCTTTCCATTTCCCTGGGTATGTAAGTGACGAAACTCGAGGAAGGAGAGAGTCTGTACAAGCAGTGTTTATTACTTTTAGCTCCTTGGTATGAGCTTATGTACCAGACAAAAATATATAAAAAATAATATCGTCAATTACTTATAAGTTGTTCGATCATTGTTTTATAGTCAGTACTCCTGAATAATGTGGTTATTAATCGTGAACTATGTAACGTAATACCTCTATTGGGCGAAGCCTTATAGATCCCTCTACAAGTTTCAGTTCGAAAAAGTCAGATATACCTCCATCATCAATATAAAAAAGGAGTCCTTTAGGTTCCTCAGTGCGAAAATCAAAGGATAATGTTCCATTCAGTCCCGTGTACCATTTATTAAACTGTGCGTATGAAGTGGGGGACCCTTCCAAAACAAACCCCACTGCTTTGACAATAAATAGAAAAAAAAGAAGAACCCGCCACAGTGTACCCATTGTCTACGATCTTTATAACTTAGTTACTTCATGTAAGTTACCAAACTCAAATAGTTTTCATTAAAAAACATCGACTGTTATGTTGGTTTAATTTAGGGAGTGGAGCAGCTCTTCTGACCTCTGGGAATAGACTTCATGATGGAGCATGGCATCATGTAGAAGTCACAAGAAATGGGGAGGAGACACTGTTACGAGTTGGTGGTGACATTCAAAGTCGGGTTTCTCGGGGCATTGAATACCTTTTCGGCAACCATTCCAGTAACAGCGATCTTTACTTTGGGGGGTTACCTGCATGGTACAGCTCCAACCTGAGTTACTTGTCACTCCCTTCCGTATTGTACGAGCCACATTTTAAAGGAGCCATAAGGAACGTGATATTTGCTCATGAAGAAGGAATGCCTAAACGACAGGAGATGACTCATTCGCAGGGTGTCCGAGCAACAGTTTTGGCATCGTGTGAGCACCATGATCCATGTCAACATGGGGGCATTTGCATCAGCACCGACACTGGGCCCGTCTGTAACTGCAACCATGTTGACTATGATGGAAACTACTGTGAAAAAGGTAAGTTTCAACATATTTGTTCTCGTATTTTACAGCAACAAATAATAATAGGTAGGCAAACAACGATTTATACCTGAAAAAGACAGATCAATGTTCTGTCGAAACATGTGGTATGTTGCACCATCAATAGAATTCTTCCTTGTGCTTATAAATCGTTGTTTACCTACCTATTATTGTATTAAAATAATATGCTTCCTAACTCAAACAGCAACAGATAGTTCAATAAGGAATTTTGAAACATTCTAGTAAACTGTTCTTATCTAAAATAATTTTAGGTTTCAAGAAGTAACGTAAACATTATGATACACCGTCACGGAAAGGCCACGAAAGGTAATAGTATGTGCAATAAATATAAGATAATAACTTTAAACTCTATAGCACAGTGTCCTACATCTGACAGTAGCAGGAGGTCCAGTGGTAAAATATGTTCTAAAACAAAAATCACTTTGTTGCTCGTAATCTAACTTTATCAGATTACAACCAACAAACGTAAACTAATGGTGTTCAGAAAGAAAATTGTAGTCTAACCTTATCATATCTAAACCAACCAACGTAATCTAATAGTGTTGAAGATAAATATACACCATTTTTCATAGTCTTTGTTAAATATGATAAATTTCTTTATTGCTCTTTAAGCTTCTTTATACTAGGTTGTTCTTTTTTTTTAAAGCCAGTTGTGATGCTACAAATACAACTTTCCACAGCCGCTTCAATATCAATTCTCTGGAATTGTTGTTCAAGCATGCCGTCCTTGACAGAAAAAAAAACACAAATTGCCTGTTTGCGCGCGCAAAACCTGTTCACCCTCCTTTATTAAAAACTTAATTGTTGTTTAAAATCACTATTATTCGCAGTTGCCGTTTTCTAATTGAGTTGCCTGTCGCTTTTTGTGGAAACTAATAACATATTATGCTGCTAATAGCTTACTGATATTAACTTATTAACATTTCATTCGTCAGCCTCAATTTACTTATAATCCGCTTCTTTCTCAACCTCTGTCGTGCTTTAAACGCCATAGTTCACATTCTTACATCTGACAGTAGTGTTCATTTAAAAAACGGTAAAGTGACAGAAGACTCTAGAATAGACAATTTAACACTATAGTGTACGGTTCAAGAACGATTGGTGGAAACACTGGTAGGCTTTTTTACGGGTTTGATGTTATGATAACTTCAACCATTGAAGGTTTAAGAATGTGCGTGCACGTCCACATGGGTACGCGTTTCTTTTCTGTTTTTGTTGATTTTTTCCACATCGGAATAACGTTATAACAACATTTTTGAATGCAGTGATGAATAAGGCATTTTGAGACACTTTGCATGTTGGATCTTATATAATTCCGATCTCTCGAACTTCTCTAATATTCAAATTTATTGAATATATATTTTAGTTTTAAGTTACACCATATAAAACTGGTAACATTTTTATTACCCTAGCTCTGTATTCTGTAAGTGAACTTTCAAGTGTATAAGCTGTAACATCTTTAAACTTGTTTTTCTAGTCACAACTGTAGAATATTTTTAAATATGTACCCTGTAGAAACACTTTTTTATTTACACCATGAGTTAATTTTGAAATGAAATAACTTATGTACTCTTTAATTTATAATTCATACTAGTTAATTTCCAAAATTATTAAAAAATGTTTTTTGGATGACGTGGCATAAGTTCATTGTCTTGGAAACAATGATTTTCACAATCTAAATCTTTGTTTGTTTGAAGTTAAGCACAAAGCTACACAATGGGCTATCTGTGCTCTGCCCACCACGGGTATCGAACCCCAATTTCTAGTTTTGTAAGTCCTCAGTCTAAATCTAATCAACTTTTTAAATATATTTTAATACCTGTTTTGCACATGTTATAAAAATTTAAATGTCTGTATTCACTTTCATTTTATTTTTCAAAACCACATTATTCTGCTAGGACACTTAGCAGAAAGTAACAGTAACTTTATATAATAAAAACGTTTTGATAAATTGGCCGCTATGAGTGCTTAGATAGATTCCAAAATTGAACGTAATTAATGTTCTTCGGTTAAAAGACCAGTCTTAACAGGAAATTCTTTTTTTTACAAGATCGTAATAGATAAGATTTCTTATATTTCAACATTATGGTTAATAGCTTTATAGTTATCAAAATCATTCTTAGATCCAAATATGATACTTAAAACAAACCTTATAACTCAAGACAATGCTTATAGGAACACCTTACTCACAAGAATAGGATTCTTTGGACTTCAAGGTACCTTTTATATACCTTGATTCATTTTTCATTACGAGTACTTAAGACCCTTTTATATAAGGGTTCCTAATTCTCAAGAGTAGTTTCGTAGGAGCACTTGAATACCGATACTAAGTTTTATTTATTCATTTGCCCACAGTGGCACAGCAGTATGTCTGCGGACTTACAACGCTAAAAACCGGGATTCGATGCACGTGGTGGGCAGAGCACAGATAGCCCACTGTATAGCTTTGTGCTTAACTTCAAACAAACAAACAATTTATTTTTATTGGGGTCTTAATTCCTAAATATAGTTTATTAGTAGCATTTTTTGTTCCCAAATTTTGCTTTTTATTACGATTCTTTTCTCCAATCATTAGGGTTCTTGGTTTCCAATTTTTATCTTTCTTAGAATGTTTTAGTTCCTGTTGTTAGTAGTTGATAAGCACCTTTAAATCCCAAGTCTTGGTTTGTATAAATTTTAGTCTCTAGGTTTTCTTCTTAAAAGTTTTTATAATTAAATTCGAAGATCCATCTTTCATCTAATCATCTTTACTTTCTAATGTTAGTGTTTCCTAGAATTCTTTATGTCACAAGATTAATGTTTTAGTTCGAAAATCTTTCCCGTTTAATCGGCCGGTTAGCAAGATTCATAGAAACCCTTATATTTCGTGCTCCTCAATCAATTAAGTGCCCGCCTAATTTTCAACAAGTCATATAGGTCCTTCGAGCGGCCATTCATTATGTATGAATATATATTTGGCTGAACTCTACAAAACAGCTGCTTTTGTTTCGAAGAATGATCCCATATGGTCAATTCATTTGACAGTATCTGGTTGAACTATACGAAGTTACTGTATTTCTTCCGAAAAAACAAACACATACGGTCTGTTCTGTTAACTACACATACCTGGCTGAGCTGTGCCAGACGTAACTGTGATTCTCCTGAAAAAAAAAACAAAAAAAAAACACACAAACGATCTGTTCTGTCAACAACATATAGTTGACAGAGCTGTGCTAAGTCACTGTGATTCTTTTGGAGAAGGAAACAGATATAATATGCTTTTTTTTGGCCGTGTATATCTACATATCTACCTGCCAAAGCCCTACCATTTTTTATGATTCTTTCGGAGAAGGAAACAGATATGATATGCTTTTTTGGCCGTGTATATCTACATATCTACCTGCCAAAGCCCTACCATTTTTTGTGATTCTTTCGGAGAAGGAAACAGATATGATATGCCTTTTTTTGACCGTGTATATCCACATATCTGTCTGCTAAAGCCCCTTCTGAGAATGAACAACTATGGTATCTGACTATATGTGCCTAACCGTGTTCTACCAAGTCAGTGTGGTACCTTCAGACAACAAAATGGTTTGAGTTATTATGTTTGGTTCTGAAAATACTGTGTCAAATGAGTGTTAGACGTGCTTTTTCTTCTTATGTATTTATAATGGATGATCGGACAAGTTTTCTGACATACCTGGTAAACCTTAGTTTTATAAAGTCCTGTAAGCGAATTAATCTTTCTTTCTCTACCCCGTCCTTTATCGACTTTTAAATATACACTATATAAAGCTTTTTTTAACGGGAAGTAGGGGTAATTTAACAAAGGGAAAAAAAACAATTCGGTGAGTTATTGACAGCAATATTATAAAAATATTTTCATGCTAACGCTGCTATTCTTCCCCAAATCCTGGAATATGTTCTCGAATCAGTGTGTGTCAATATAGTGCGTTCTTAACGTGCCTTTTGTTCTTGAGACATTGTAGTTATTGAGTTTGTAGTTAGAAAAGTTGAGTGATGCACATAGCTCCAAAATACTTCAAGAGAAAGGTTACATTTCTGAGGTGATGCCGTAGTCTCAGTTTGAACATAAGACATACATAATTTAAATTTCTCTATTGGCATGTCCAAGGCTAGTCAATATTTACTTCATGTTCATATCACGATATCTTATGTATGAAAAACACAAACAAGATTATTTTCGTCGGAATGTATACGCTAATAATTTGAACTATGGAGGTAGTTCTTTACTTGATAAATTTGGTAATTAAAACAACGAAGAAATGATAGAGAAATGTTTTATTCTAACACAAATTTTGTGGTGGTATTGTTTTTTCAAGTAGTAATGCCCCTCAGTAGCACAGTGGTATGTGTGCGGACTTATACTGCTAGCAACCGGATTCCGATAGCCCTTTGTGTAGCTTTGTGCGTAATAACAAACAACAACAAAAACATCAATGAGTAACTCAAATTGTCACTAAGAAGAAAACTTTCTTGAGGAAAATATCTATTAGATTAACTTTGCAAATCGCCGAAACAAATATAGTGAACTGCGCATAAAAAGAAAATTCGTTTTGTGATAATAATTATCCAAGAAATGCACTTTCCTTATCGTAAACCAAAGTGTCTAGAAAATAAATATTTGTCTGATGCTTGACTGTAAGCTTAATGTGTGATTGTTTACTCTGTTGGTAAGTGAGGAAACTATTAATACATTCGGAAGATTAGAAAAGTCATCAACATATCTGGATTGATATAAAGATTGAAATGCCTGAAGAGCTTCTTTACATTTGATTTATTCGTGATAATATAAAACATTTGCTGCTAAAGCAGAAGCTAATCTAGAACCAATGTTCACATCACTAATTTAATCATGAGCAGTTTTATTCAACAGAAAATAAAGTTCTTGATTGCAATTTTCCTAAATTTAATGAACAAATACTTAATAATTCCTTCTATTACATTACTATTTATATAGAGCAATACTAGCAAAT